ATCAAATTTGTTTCCCCTTGCAACTTCAGATTCAGTTGATTCATATGGTTTGTCCCGTCTGCAAAAAAATGTCAGTATCCAAAGCCAGTCAGCGTTTGATAAAAGTGGTTCGGATCGATTCTTCTCTCTGAGAAATGAGTATCCGCGCACGCAGCTTACACATCGAGGTCCGGTGGTCGATCCCCGGTACAGGTGGAAGCATTAGGACGTGTTTCCTTAAGGCACCTGCTGCCTATCTTCACCCATCAATAAAATAGATACCTGGGTGTTAGTCGACTGGTGTGGGTCGCATCCTGGGGACAAAACTGACTTAATTTGCCCGAAATGCTCTGAATAATAATAGGCTTTCTATATAGGAGTGTATTGATGTCAGCTAGGCCTGTATACCTTGTATATGTACTTTCATAAATAAAGATTATTATTAATCAATTTCCTTTCTGATCTGAAAGAACCGTGATAGAACTTTGCCACAACTAAGCCATCGAACTGCTGTATAACAAGTCAACCAACTCGGAATCAGTTGCTTTCAGAAAATCACGAAACTGGCGATGATTAAGCCGTGAGATCGAATGAAAATCACTGTTGAAACAGCAGGTTTCAGAACGCAAGACATATCTACATATTTTCCTTACAGTGCTTGCTGGTGGATAACACAGTGCAGAAACATGGACTTTGAGAATCCACCATCCTCACAAGTTTTTGTAATTTGTCCAACCAAACCTTTCTTCACCCCAGACATGTTCTTTCCTCCATCATTTGTCACACATTGAGGTTTATCCCACTCCAGGTTATGTTCTAATACCGTTTTTTTTTTTTTTTGGGGGGGGGGAATTCTTTGAAGATGTATTTTCTGGTTCTAGTGTTGTGTATGCTATGTACTGATGCTAATTCTTGTGTGACGGATGGATACTAGAAGTTGTGATATGTCACATCATTTGATGTGACACATCACATCTCAAGTGCGAGAGAATAAAACTGAAAATTTCGTGCTTTGTCTGCAATTTGATTAAATATATTGCTTCCTGCATCCTCAATTCTACGAGCAACAGTATATGGCGCAAGACAGGGAGGATTTTGAACAGATTTGCTTTTCCTGTGCATGACTCTCCCACTGCTTCCATCATACACTCTTTGATCAGATCTCTATCAGTGAATAATGGTTTTCCTCTTTCAGTTAATGCATAAGCTACTTTGTAACTGGTCCTGGTTAAAGCTTCATTTTCAGGATCTCTTCTGCGTAAAAATCCTTGTTGGGAAAGCAACCTGCGTTGCACTGATTCAAAGTTTTCCGAACGTTGTGTTGCTGTGAATAGAGAATAACTTGGTTTATATTTGGTCTTATAGTGCCAACGTACGTTGTTTTCCTCAAAACTGCAACAGTTTCGTGGCATACGACAAACAAGGTCTGCTGGTACAAAGGAATACTTTAATGCCCATTCTTCATTAAACAGGCAGCACTACTCTGCACTGTTCTTTTCCATTTTCTTTCCATAACTGAAGGGTATATCTGAAAAATGAAAAGATTAGAACAAATTTTTACATATAAACTGTGGCGGCCCGTATGTGGCCCCGGGCCACAGTTTGGAGACCCCTGGCCTGCACAGTAGGCTTTTTTCAGTCAAATACAAAGGAAACACGTGAAGTAGTAAAATAAAGATGATGTAATCAGTCCACCAACCTTGAGGTGGTCAGTCCCTCAAGCTGAGGGACTGACCACATCAGCTTCTATCTCTCCAAGGTTGATGGACTGATTACATCATCTTCATTTCACTACTATACCTGCTGCCTCTGTATCTGACTGAAGAAGCCTACTGTGCACGCGAAACGTTTCAACAAAATACCCAACTGTTGCACAAGTGTCTTAATCATCCACCTGTTATATTCTCTGTAGCACGACACTCTTCAAGCATATGACAAATCAGATTCACTGCCCAGGTTTCCACTGCTTGAGAGAGTAGTTAGTACAGGGTCTCCTGACACTTCTACCCTTACACACCCCTGTCTATGTCTCTTCCTTATACCCATGCCTCATCTATTTTTTTTCCCCACCCAAAGTTACTCCCATAACCTTTCATCACTTATAAGTGAATCATCACTAGCAGACCCATAAATTAAAAGCTGTGTCAAAAGACTGCACTAGACTCCTAATTTAATATAATTACGTATTATTTATGTAAAAGCCTCACTCGTGTGGATCATTCAACGAAAAGTATAGTGGAAGCTCGATCCTCCGACCACTAAACGCGGCCAGGTCTCTGACCAGTCTGTTAGTAATCGCACTTCCTAAATGAACCGACTCGTCAGAAGACTGTACAAGACTCCTTAATCACCAACAGCCTCGTCACTAGCTTATCAGACTTCTAAATGATCAGCTATCATTCTCTTCCTGTGGTTAAGCCCAATTACCTCCAATTCCTCAAGACCTGCATGACTTGCGGCTTTAGCGCTTCCCGATGAGGCCAATGATAATATTGGAGAAAATCTTACCTGCTATTTTTTCATCTACTGTGTCCTCGCGCGCGTCGCTAGGTTCCTGTTTCTTCTTACTTTCAGTTTTTGTCTTCGTTACCTTTGGCGTCTTCATGTTGCCTTCCTTTCTTTGCTTTTTTCTTCCCTCGTCTCTATTTTTCTGCTTTGTCATTTTGCTTCTTCCTCCGTGTACGCTCTTTTGACTTGGATCAGGTTTCTGACCTCTTGCAGTTTTCCGTAAGCTACCTCCATGTTTTTTCCCAGCATTAATTTGTTTACCTTCAAGCTTATCAATTTCTTCGTTTCTTAACCGTTTATTCTTATTCTTCCCGGTTTTGCTTGCAGCTCTATTTCTCAACTCCTTTCCATCTCTGTCTCTCGATTTTCCCTTCACATTTGCGAGGTTCCGTGTGTTGTGTTGTGGTGTCCTCCAAGAAGGTCGTCTGCCAGCGTGGTTTACCCTGGCTCCGTCTGGCTCACCTGCCGCTCCTGCTGCTTTCTTCTTATGCAGAACTCGTAATCTCTCACCGCCTTTACCTGTAACATCAATAATAACGGTGATGACGACATTACTACCATCACCACTACTGCTGCTGTTATTACTGCTGCTGCTGTTACTACTACTAACTCTGCTAGTAGTGATCTACTACTACTACTGCTACTACTACTACTACTACTACTACTACTACTATTGCTGCTTCTGCTACTAATAACTCTGCTACTAGTGCTACTACTACTACTATTGCTGCTGCTACTACTACTGTTGCTGCTGCTGTTGCTATCACTACACTGGTAATACTATTACTACACTGCTGCTACTATTACTACACTGTTGCTACTACTATTACTACACTGCTGCTACTACTACTACTACTACTACTACTACTACACTGCTGCTGCTGCTACTACCACTACACTGCTGCTGCTACTACTACTACCACTACTACACTGCTGCTTCTGCTACTATTACTAAACTGCTGCTACTACTACTACTACAACAACTACTACAACAACTACTACTACTACTACTACTACTACTACACTACTGCTGCTACTACTACCACTACACTGCTAATGCTACTACTACTACCACTACTACACTGCTGCTTCTGCTACTATTACTACACTGCTGCTGCTACTACTACGACTACACTGCTGCTGCTACTACTACTATGACTGCTACACTGCTGCTTCTGCTACTATTACTACACTGCTGCTACTACTACTACTACTACTACTACTACTACTACTACTACTACTACTACTACACTGCTGCTGCTGCTGCTACTACTACGACTACACTGCTGCTGCTACTACTACTACGACTACTACACTGCTGCTTCTGGTACTATTACTACACTGCTACTATTACTACTACTACTACACTGCTACTACTACTACTACACTGCTGCTACTACTACTACTACTACTACTACTACTACACTGCTGCTGCTACTACTACTACTACTACTACTACTACACTGCTGCTGCTACTAGTGTAGTTTTTTTATTATTTTCAACCACTTAGTGTAATAACTGAAGGATATAATAGTGTTTACATAAGGTAGTGTAAATGTGTAGTGTTGATGTTACTTTTAAAAGATGCTAAGCCACAGAAGAATCAACATCCCTTATAATTTATTCTTTTTTTATGGTAATCAGTTAAGTAAAACGTACTTCTTATAATGTTGAAAAGAAATTAATATTCCAATAATGAAAGTGTAGTACATACATGGAAGTGTTATTAATTGAAAAGATGTATTGTGTACGACAACGCAGGAGAGCAACGAAAATGGCGGAGTTATACCGATCGGACCGGGAATTTATGGAGAATTAATCTCATTTAATCTGAGCCAAGAGAAATAGTATCGACTAATATAGCGTCCTATATAATAAGTGAATTTAACGTGTATCTGGGAGGGTTCAGATACAAAGTGAAACTTACCAAAATAAGGATGAAACAATGGAAACATGAACTGTTGCTGGGGAGTCTACATTGTCCACCATATGTATCATCGAATATATGTATCATTGAATATATGTATCATCGAATATATGTATAATCGAATATATGTATCATCGAATATATGTATCATCGAATATATGTATCATCGAATATATGTATAATCGAATATATGTATCATCGAATATATGTATCATCTAATATATGTATCATCGAATATATGTGTGGAAAATATATAGTATATTTTCCGAAAATAGTGTATTGGTATGTAAATTAATAAAATATATTGTATTTAATAAAAAAAATTATAAAAAATGGGAAGCCTGCGCCTGCGCAGACGAGACTCGCCATTGTTTTTTGAATTGAGTAACAAACGTTAGTTAATATTGGGAAGAATTTTCGTGCTCTAGAGGTTAAAATTGGGCTGACACCTCTCAAATAGGAGCCGAAATTGATGGATGTGCAGTCCTGCATAACTTGAGATATCAGGCGACTGGACAAGACAGCTCCAGGAACCTCAGATAGGTCTTATGTTGTAACTCTGGCCAGTGTTATTTTCATGTATAGACAGTGAGGTTTTCTGAGTATGATACACATTAATCTCCAGTCAAATTGGTGAGTGATATTAAGATATTCTCCTGTTATGTAAATTGTATATATATAATCGTTTATTAATTTTAATATACAATCCACAAATTTATATATTTACCAGAATTCCTGGTGATACATATTTCATTGGTAATTAATAGGTCTAGAGCAACTTGTGGATAAGACAGTGGTGGGTATCGAAGGGGGACATTTTTGCGACCTAGGTGTCCCAAATTCCTACCTGTCTATGTAACTGATAAATAATAATTATCTTTGTTATCATTTACTGTTATGTACATGATGAGTTACATTCAGATAAATGCAATTTTCCACAATATGTATTATCGAATATATGTATCATTGAATATATGTATCATCGAATATATGTATCATCGAATATATGTATCATCGAATATATGTATCATCGAATATATGTATCATCGAATATATAATGTACACCTAGTGTGAATTAAATTTCAATACAGGTAATGTATTCATTGGCCAATATTAGTTGCCTACAGATAGGGAGGCGTTAGGATGTATCACCAACATCATAATTTGGAGAGTAATATTTAAATATCCTTCATATTCTCTCTCTCTCTCTCTCTCTCTCTCTCTATATATATATATATATATATATATATATATATATATATATATATATAAATATATATATATATATATATATATATATATATATATATATATACAGTCCACAACCAAATTTAATACAGCCAGTGTTACTGGCTGGAATATTTTGTTTAAAATTCTAGAACAATATGTTCAAATAATTTAAGGTCCGATTGTGTGAGTTTGGGGAGGTGAGGTGGGCATCGCAGGAGGGAGTGTTGTGACCCACGGTTGCTAAAGTCACACCTGTCTCCGAGGTACAACTAGTAGCAGTAACTAATCTGTTTTAGATGTGTCAGAGTTCACCTCTGTTATGTGTGTGAAATGTTAATTCAGGATTGTACCTATGAAATTCACTCAATATAATTTCTCACAGCTACACTGCTGCCAGACAGCTACAGCTACAGCTGCTGCTGCTGCTGCTGCTGCTGCTGCTGCTGCTGCTGCTGCTGCTGCTGCTGCTGCTGCTGCTGCTGCTGCTGCTGCTGTTGCTGCTGCTGCTGCTGCTGCTGCTGCTGCTGCTGCTGCTGCTGCTGCTGCTGCTGCTGCTGCTGCTGCTGCTGCTGCTGCTGCTGCTGCTGCTGCTGCTGCTCCAATGGAATTAAGTCACTATTGTCTGAATTTTTGTGGGTTATCCTCAGGTTCTCTACACATATGCTGCTATGTATGATAATTTATGTAACTGTATTTGTGTATAGCTGAATAAACTTAATTACAGCTGTTGCGGCTACAACAACTACTGCTGCTGCTATTGCTACACCTGTTGCGCCTACTACTGCTACTGCTGCTAGAAATAGTATTACTAATACTGCTTCTACATTTCTGCTAGTACTGGAAGTAAGTCACTGACCTTCTTTTTGGGTTATCTTGGGTAATTTACACATGCTATGAATGATAATTTGTGTAACTATTTATGTGCATCTATGCCTGAATAAACTTACTACTACTACTACTAATAACAATAATAGAATTACACTGCTTCCACATTACTACTAGTACTACTACTACTAGAAATAGTACTATTAACACTGAATCCACATTACTAATAATATTACTACTACAACTAGAAATAGTATTACTAACGCTGCATCTACAATATTACTACTTATAATAATTTATCCACTGTTTATATTGCTGAAATTATAGTGGAGTTCTTGGTTAAAATATTAGATAGGTGGGTGAAATCGGCATATGATAGGAATAACTGTGGTATATCAGACATTATATCTTAGTTCTTTGAACATACAATGAAAGAGATATACGTAGATTACTGGAAACATTCAGTGATTTGATGAAAGGTTGCTGAAATTGAATGTAAATAGAAGTGAAGAATTGACGGAGAGAATAATCGCAACTGTATCTTTGAAATTATGGTGAAGTTCGTGTAAATAGTTTTGAGAGTTTTCACCCTCACGTCCCTGGGTTTCAAAACCTGGGGTGTGATTGAAAAAAAAAATGAGGAATCGAAGTGGGAGTAGAATAAAACAGGGAAGAGAAGCATCTGGCGCAATGGCAGTCCTCATTACGAAAAGTATTTAATTTATTGGAGACGGATTAGTACGCACAGTCGGGAGAAGCCACAGACTTGCGTAAATTCTGCTAGCACCTCCACTGTTCTTGTGTTGTTATGTGTTGGTGAACTCACCAGATGAATGACCTTGTTATTGTTTGCAGTATCAACTAGCCACTATTGGATTGTTGTTTGATGGATCTACTGTATCATGTCAGTGTAACTTTGTAGATGGTCCAAGTCGGACCGAAACGTCGTCATAAGCTTCTCTCTCCTATGTGCAGGTTATTTGTGTATTAGGTCACTGTTAATTTGCATGTATCAGCCACTGACCAGTTGTAGCGAGTCACCATTTACACACCTATGATAATTTAGTATTCAGTATCTCACCTTTCGCACAGCAGATTTCCTGGTTGGGACATATCCCTGGCAGGACGTCCGAGCAGCGTGCGTCGGCGTCCACACACCGACCTTCTATCTTCTCACAAGATGTATCTCTATCTTCGTTACGCTCCTGTATGTAACAAAGACTCATACATATGGGTACAGCAAGATCTATGGAGGGATTCAAGCATATGCCTTTGGGGTGGATTTTTTTTTTTTTTTTTTTTTGAGACGGGGCTGATAAAAATGTGCCCTGATTTTTTTTATAGTGTCTTAATTTATATATAAGCACAATATAAAACATAAAATATCACGGAAGTTACGCTATGTAACTAACATATGCTAAAATGATTTGTGATATAGCAAATTAAATAAATTAATCCAACTTAAACGTAAATAATTTAACCAATTATGAGAGAATCTGCTCTGAACAAGTTAGATTTGTCTTCAAAGTGTTCGCTTTATGCCCTGAAAACGTTACATTTCATAGCCTAGGAAGGTCTGCTTTTTCTCTACATTCTTTCTACCACTTCCCGTCCCCTTCCGCCTCAAACGCCTATTTATTCACAAAACCTGTAGACCGAATTTGAGTTTTAGAAGTGGCAAGTACGATCCATTAACTTTTAAAAGTGGTTGTGAATGTTTGGGTTCTGAGAAACATTGGAACAAAATACTGGTGCATTTCTGGTAAGACAGAACTTGTGATACATGTACTAAATGTGTTTTCTTTTTTTTTACGTCTATTTTCCTGATGGTTATCCTTAGTCACCACAAATTCGTTTATCCGATATCGTGAATTTTAGTGCTTATTCAGTTAATGAAAATTTACTTTGCGAATATTTAGTGAAATACAATCAGTTCGTCGTGTGATGCTGTCGCCAGAAAGTTGATATAAAAATTATTCATTGAGAAATTGGATTGGGCAAATGTTTTGTTAGTGGGATGAATTGTAAACGACCTGCCTAGTATGGGCCAGCAGGCCTCCTGCAGTGTTCCTCCTTTCTTATGTTCTTATGTTCTTAAATAGAAAAATATCATATACAGTTGTAAGCAATGGCAGGTCAGTAGCACAGCTGATGTGATCCTGTTTCAGGTACACTTGTGCTGCCACCTAGCTTAACACTGGAGGTGCACCTGAGTACCTTGGTAGTGTGTGCCTGTCTGAGAAATTTGAGAACGCGATTCAGGAACCTTTAATATGTGTCGTTGAGGCTCGTATATACGACGTTAGAACTGGTAGTGTGCGTAGTGGAGCCCTTACCTGAGAAACATGGAGGCCCTACCTGAGAAACATGGAGACCCCACCTGAGAAACATGGAGGCCCCACCTGAGAAACATGGAGGCCCCACCTGAGAAACATGGGGGTCCCACCTGAGAAACATGGAAGCCCCATCTGAGAAACATGGGGGTCCCACCTGAGAAACATGGAGGCCCCACCTGAGAAACATGGGGGTCCTACCTGAGAAACATGGAGGCCCCACCTGAGATACATGGAGGCACCATCTGAGATACATGGAGGCACCATCTGAGATACATGGAGGCACCATCTGAGATACATGGAGGCACCACCTGAGATACATGGAGGCCCCACCTGAGAAACATGGGGGTCCTACCTGAGATACATGGAGGCCCCACCTGAGATACATGGAGGCCCCACCTGAGATACATGGAGGCCCCACCTGAGATACATGGAGGCCCCACCTGAGATACATGGAGGCCCCACCTGAGATACATGGAGGCCCCACCTGAGATACATGGAGGCCCCACCTGAGATACATGGAGGCACCACCTGAGATACATGGAGGCCCCACCTGAGATACATGGAGGCACCACCTGAGATACATGGAGGCACCACCTGAGATACATGGAGGCCCCACCTGAGATACATGGAGGCCCCACCTGAGATACATGGAGGCACCACCTGAGATACATGGAGGCCCCACCTGAGATACATGGAGGCACCACCTGAGATACATGGAGGCCCCACCTGAGATACATGGAGGCACCACCTGAGATACATGGAGGCACCACCTGAGAAACATGGAGGCCCCACCTGAGAAACACGGAGCCCCACCTCAGAAACATAAGGGCTCCACCTGAGAAACATGGAAGCCCTACCTGAGAAACATGGAGGCCCCACCTGAGAAACATGGAGGTCCCAACTGAGAAACATGGAGGCCCCACCTGAGAAACATGGAGGCCCCATCTGGGAAACATGGAGGCACTACCTGAGAAACCTGGAGGCACTACCTGAGAAACCTGGAGGCCCCACCTGAGAAAAATGGTGGGGGCTAAGAGGAATGAAAAACGAAGAAAGATTAAGCAAACTACAGTAAAGTATACAAGAAGAAAGAGAGGAGACTCAGAGAGAAGACATGAATGTGAAGAACCAGATACACTGAGAACATGACACAGGGCAGTATAGATAAAAATTTAAAATTTAGCGTCACGGTGAAAGTGATCTGGATAAGAAAGTGATGGAAGCAAATTTCATATACTATATTCAGAATATGCATGGTAAAGCTCATGAGGCCTGGACTAGATTATAACTACAGAAGTAGCTGAGAGGCGGAGCTACTCACCTCACCTCCCCCACACAGTTTAAATTTGAAACAACAGTTGTTTTTCACTGTAATTAAGATAAATTGCAGTGATGGGTACCATGACATGTAAACAAGAATAATAGTATGATGCTGTGGTTTGGATGAGTGTTGGCTACCATACATTGATGGCTCTTGATCCAGCAAACTGGAGCTTCGTTACCCCTTTCCTCAAATCGAACCTAATTACCTTCCGTTTCCCAGGCCTTGCACGATCCTTACGGTGTTTGTTCTTCTCACAATTATAATAATACACCATGTGTTATCTGGAGAAGACCCGGGCCGGAAATACCGGCAAATCTCTTACTAACGAACTACACCATGTGTATATGTTTTAAACGTTGCAGACGGAGCACCACCAGCATAACTGCTGTTGTAACTACAGACACTGCAGACGGAGCACCACCAGCATACAGTAATTGCTCTTGTAACGACGAACACTCAAGACAGGAAACAACCAACATAACTTTGCTGTTGTAACTAAAATTACTGAAGGAAGAATGGGAGCGTTGCTCCTATAACTACAAAAGTACATCTACAAATAGAGAATTACTGTACCTTGGCTAGGACGACAGTAATAAGGAAACACACCAGCAGCCAAATCTTCATCATCTTCCTGTCAGTGAACACCACAGGTAAGGCTGAGCTTGATTCTCGTATACAGTCTGCTAGGCATCTGCTACCAGATAACCAACGGGCGACCTCGTCTCGTCCGCAATGTGTTCGTTCTGGGCGATAAACCTGACGCAGGAAGTAACAGGTGTAGGAAAACATTGTAATATTTGATTAGAATACCTGATTGCTGGAACACCTGTCTGTATGTTAATATTTCTTGTATTTAAATATTGTTACACGTGGCTTACCATTCTTTTTACTATTGGGTAACCAAGGGCGAGGTAGTGTGGTTCGCGGTTAACCACCCAGTTACTGGCCAGACCAGTCTTACCTAACCTGACTGGCAGAGTGACGGAAGCAGTTCTTGCTTGATAAATATTAAAGAAACTTGCAGAGGTATGCCAGTTGTATAACCAGGAACATTAATTAACGTGTATGTATTTATTCTGTACATGTATTTGTATTTTTATTTTTTTTATTATCACACCGGCCGATTCCCACCAAGGCAGGGTGGCCCGAAAAAGAAAAACTTTCACCATCATTCACTCCATCACTGTCTTGCCAGAAGGGTGCTTTACACTACAGTTTTTAAACTGCAACATTAACACCCCTCCTTCAGAGTGCAGGCACTGTACTTCCCATCTCCAGGACTCAAGTCCGGCCTGCCGGTTTCCCTGAATCCCTTCATAAATGTTACTTTGCTCACACTCCAACAGCACGTCAAGTATTAAAAACCATTTGTCTCCATTCACTCCTATCAAACACGCTCAAGCATGCCTGCTGGAAGTCCAAGCCCCTCGCACACAAAACCTCCTTTACCCCCTCCCTCCAACCCTTCCTAGGCCGACCCCTACCCCGCCTTCCTTCCACTACAGACTGATACACTCTTGAAGTCATTCTGTTTCGCTCCATTCTCTCTACATGTCCGAACCACCTCAACAACCCTTCCTCAGCCCTCTGGACAACAGTTTTGGTAATCCCGCACCTCCTCCTAACTTCCAAACTACGAATTCTCTGCATTATATTCACACCACACATTGCCCTCAGACATGACATCTCCACTGCCTCCAGCCTTCTCCTCGCTGCAACATTCATCACCCACGCTTCACACCCATATAAGAGCGTTGGTAAAACTATACTCTCATACATTCCCCTCTTTGCCTCCAAGGACAAAGTTCTTTGTCTCCACAGACTCCTAAGTGCACCACTCACTCTTTTTCCCTCATCAATTCTATGATTCACCTCATCTTTCATAGACCCATCCGCTGACACGTCCACTCCCAAATATCTGAATACGTTCACCTCCTCCATACTCTCTCCCTCCAATCTGATATTCAATCTTTCATCACCTAATCTTTTTGTTATCCTCATAACCTTACTCTTTCCTGTATTCACCTTTAATTTTCTTCTTTTGCACACCCTACCAAATTCATCCACCAATCTCTGCAACTTCTCTTCAGAATCTCCCAAGAGCACAGTGTCATCAGCAAAGAGCAGCTGTGACAACTCCCACTTTGTGTGTGATTCTTTATCTTTTAACTCCACGCCTCTTGCCAAGACCCTCGCATTTACTTCTCTTACAACCCCATCTATAAATATATTAAACAACCACGGTGACATCACACATCCTTGTCTAAGGCCTACTTTTACTGGGAAAAAATTTCCCTCTTTCCTACATACTCTAACTTGAGCCTCACTATCCTCGTAAAAACTCTTCACTGCTTTCAGTAACCTACCTCCTACACCATACACTTGCAACATCTGCCACATTGCCCCCCTATCCACCCTGTCATACGCCTTTTCCAAATCCATAAATGCCACAAAGACCTCTTTAGCCTTATCTAAATACTGTTCACTTATATGTTTCACTGTAAACACCTGGTCCACACACCCCCTACCTTTCCTAAAGCCTCCTTGTTCATCTGCTATCCTATTCTCCGTCTTACTCTTAATTCTTTCAATTATAACTCTACCATACACTTTACCAGGTACACTCAACAGACTTATCCCCCTATAATTTTTGCACTCTCTTTTATCCCCTTTGCCTTTATACAAAGGAACTATGCATGCTCTCTGCCAATCCCTAGGTACCTTACCCTCTTCCATACATTTATTAAACAATTGCACCAACCACTCCAAAACTATATCCCCACCTGCTTTTAACATTTCTATCTTTATCCCATCAATCCCGGCTGCCTTACCCCCTTTCATTTTACCTACTGCCTCACGAACTTCCCCCACACTCACAACTGGCTCTTCCTCACTCCTACAAGATGTTATTCCTCCTTGCCCTATACACGAAATCACAGCTTCCCTATCTTCATCAACATTTAACAATTCCTCAAAATATTCCTTCCATCTTCCCAATACCTCTAACTCTCCATTTAATAACTCTCCTCTCCTATTTTTAACTGACAAATCCATTTGTTCTCTAGGCTTTCTTAACTTGTTAATCTCACTCCAAAACTTTTTCTTATTTTCAACAAAATTTGTTGATAACATCTCACCCACTCTCTCATTTGCTCTCTTTTTACATTGCTTCACCACTCTCTTAACCTCTCTCTTTTTCTCCATATACTCTTCCCTCCTTGCATCACTTCTACTTTGTAAAAACTTCTCATATGCTAACTTTTTCTCCCTTACTACTCTCTTTACATCATCATTCCACCAATCGCTCCTCTTCCCTCCTGCACCCACTTTCCTGTAACCACAAACTTCTGCTGAACACTCTAACACTACATTTTTAAACCTACCCCATACCTCTTCGACCCCATTGCCTATGCTCTCATTAGCCCATCTATCCTCCAATAGCTGTTTATATCTTACCCTAACTGCCTCCTCTTTTAGTTTATAAACCTTCACCTCTCTCTTCCCTGATGCTTCTATTCTCCTTGTATCCCATCTACCTTTTACTCTCAGTGTAGCTACAACTAGAAAGTGATCTGATATATCTGTGGCCCCTCTATAAACATGTACATCCTGAAGTCTACTCAACAGTCTTTTATCTACCAATACATAATCCAACAAACTACTGTCATTTCGCCCTACATCATATCGTGTATACTTATTTATCCTCTTTTTCTTAAAATATGTATTACCTATAACTAAACCCCTTTCTATACAAAGTTCAATCAAAGGGCTCCCATTATCATTTACACCTGGCACCCCAAACTTACCTACCACACCCTCTCTAAAAGTTTCTCCTACTTTAGCATTCAAGTCCCCTACCACAATTACTCTCTCACTTGGTTCAAAGGCTCCTATACATTCACTTAACATCTCCCAAAATCTCTCTCTCTCCTCTGCATTCCTCTCTTCTCCAGGTGCATACACGCTTATTATGACCCACTTCTCGCATCCAACCTTTACTTTAATCCACATAATTCTTGAATTTACACATTCATATTCTCTTTTCTCCTTCCATAACTGATCATTTAACATTACTGCTACCCCTTCCTTTGCTCTAACTCTCTCAGATACTCCAGATTTAATCCCATTTATTTCCCCCCACTGAAACTCTCCTACCCCCTTCAGCTTTGTTTCGCTTAGGGCCAGGACATCCAACTTCTTTTCATTCATAACATCAGCAATCATCTGTTTCTTGTCATCCGCACTACATCCACGCACATTTAAGCAACCCAGTTTTATAAAGTTTTTCTTATGTATATATATATATATATATATATATATATATATATATAATATATATATATATATATATACATAAACACTGATCTCTGGCTGAAGGAGACTCGAACCTACGAACCTTGGAACAAGGTACGCAGTGCTTTACCAATCTACCCACACTGGACCAATACCTTGGAGTCCAGCTTGCGCTAGACTTTGATCCAAGGCAGCCAGCTTTCAGGGAGAAGGCTTACAGCTTTTCATCTCATCCCCTGCATGCATCAGCCTCACTAGAGATATTAACAATGCAAGGAATTCGCTCTTGTGATTTCCTTGCATGTATATATATATATATATATATATATATATATATATATATATATATATATATATATATATATATATATATATATATATATATATATATATATATATATATTTATATATATATATATATATATAGGGTTAATCTCTGATGCAAATTGTGGGACACAAAGGCTTCAGGGAAGAATATTTGAATCTCTTCCTGAAGCCATTTGAATATTAAACTTCCCCTACAACCCCATCTTTTCATTTTTTTACCAATAGGTATATTTTATTACATAATATGGTAC